CGGTAAGGTCCAGTCTCTTCGTGACGGAACTGCCAAGCTCGGCGAACAGACCAACAACCATAAAAGTGCTATGATTGGACATTTCTGACTGATACTATCTGAATGCTCACTACAGTCACTACATCCTTTATTGGGGTTCACTTGAGAGAAAGTAACTGCGAAATGTAGGTGACGTTGTTTAGTTTAGGCTAGGCGAAAAAAACTGCCTAACCAAGTGCTTCGCAATCATTCAATCTTCACATGTAATCGGTTGAGAGTCACATTCTTAAAAGTACTAATGTAACAGCGGACACTACTGATGGGGCACGCGAGTAGTATGTTTTCTCGTAAAACCGCTTCGCGTCTCTGGAAAAATGAGGTCTCTTACGGAATTCGTGGAGTCGCTTGCGTTTGAGTAACATTCAATGAATATCCAGGAAGGTTCAAGAAGGCTCGTTCAAAAAGAGAAGATGGATATTCAGTTTTGTAAACAAGATGCATATGAGAGTCTCGCTCCCCTGTCCAATAGTTTGTAACTTTAAACAACTCCGCAGCGAAGGTCCCCTTTCTTTCACTAGTATCCTCAGTAAATTTCCAAAAATCAGCTTACATTGCTTAAGCTTACTCATGCCTGTCACGTTCAGATAGGTTAATACATCATTGTCATTGATCTTTCCCCCTGGAATTGGTACCAATCTATGCTAAAACGTCGAAAAATACTGCAAGACGCTTTCATTTTTGTCGCGCATCTCATGAAATTTCGGTGGGGAGTTTCGGACCCACCACCAGGCAGTTTGGACACCCAATTTTTCGGTCACCAGCGGCACCGAATTAATTTACACCCTTGGAGTTATTCTTTTTGTAAGAAAGGCAGTCCTGATGTCCATTCCAGCTGCCTCATTTGCTGCTCTTCCTGGGAGAGTATGGAGGTAATTCACGTGTCACTTTTCCGTGATACACTTCAGCAATATACGTAGAGTCCACGCCAACTTAAGACCGGTTTCCCCCTTATTGGGGCCCTCAGGTAGACGCATTCCAACGGAGATTTAGCTGGGATCCCGTTGAGTTTTCCGTTCAAACCAAATTCGTATGCAGATGGGTGTAGTTTGCGAATTTCGCGCGATTTGGGTGCTGCGATCAGAAAAGAGTTGATATATCTCGGAAATCACATCACGTGAAACTTGAGATGGCCTGGTGCAGCACATTCGGTTGGAGGAGATGATCACATGTGGTTAATTCAGCTAGTGTCAGGTGATTCTCTTGTTAAAATCAAATTTATGTGCAAGTGAGGGTAGTTGTCGAAAGAAATGTCCACTTTCAAAGCAACAACGAACCCTTGGAAGAACACTCTTATTCGTTTGCGCTCCTGTGTTTGTTCCGCCCGCGGTGGATCCCGGAAAAAGGTGTAAATGTAACGCAGATTAACGGAAGCGTCAGCCCCCTTACTTCTGTCTGTTTTTTCCTCTCCATTAACCCCAATTGTTGCTTTTAAGTTTCGGCTAACGGGTTTCAGAAATACAAGATTTATCAGCCATACTAAAGGTTGAGTAGGAATCAGGCTGGATTTATGCACCAATTTATCATCTCCTTCCTGCAATGCGCAACTACCTACCTACCCCCCATCCCCGAAATCACCGGTGAACGAAACTGCGGCAGCTAAAACCACTGTACGGCGAGTACGCGGCTATCACAGCTGACAATGATGATGATGATGATGATGATGATGATGATGATGATGATGATGATGAGGCTATTTCAATCTGGTAGACTTCCAGTTATATCCAGGTATATCACACTCAGTTTGACCATAAACGAAAAAAGGCACAACACCGATCAATCCAGTGCAACAATCCAATGTAACATTTGTCCTAACGAAACGAACGTTCATCACAAACAAATGGATTTAGCCTTTTTACAATGCTTGTAGACCTCCTATTAGATCACTTTTAACGGAAATCGGTACTTGAGTAATAAAACATAGAAATACCATCGTCCAGTTACCTGATAGCACCCGAGATACCATTGACCTTCCGGTTCAAGTCGAACCGCACCACCAACAACATCCACTTGAAGACTGTTCATCACCCGAAGCATACGATCGATATCGGTATAGTGAGTGAAGTCTACCATGTTTCGACCGATCAACAGATATTTTGTTGGACCAAATCTACTGAGCTTCTCCCACGTGACTCCGTTATCTTTCGCGTGGATGTACACATGAACGTTGGGCAGTTCATTGCAAGCACTTTCAATCCAGTCCATACCAAGTGCCATTCGGATATGAATAGTTGGATAGACAAGGCGTATGCGATCGACCAGATATTTGCCATCCATACAGGTATCCGCGTACAATAGGATTTCTACCAATTCCTCCAGGGGAATTCTGTCACACATCTCGGTCTTGTAGACATTCTCAAAGTAGACCTTATCCTCGGTCACATCGCCCCAATATTCTGGACAAACTTCCGGTCTTTGTAGTCGATTGAGCTCGGTGGGTAGACGGTCGGCTTCCGTTTCCAATGACTCCAAAGTGAGCAAGGTTTTCTCAATCAGTAGTCGTGCTTCACTCGAACG